GGGAAGGGAAGGGAAGGGAAGGGAAGGGAAGGGAAGGGAAGGGAAGGGAAGGGAAAAGGTGGGGAGGGAAAAGGGAAGGGTAACGGAAGTGAGCCCAAATCCCATGGAGAGAACAGGGAAGCCTCTCCCCTCCCGCCACCCTAAAATCTGCTCCTGGATGACCTGGCCCTGCTATTCCCGCCCAGCCCGGGCCTCAGTGGGCCGGTGCTTTTGGGCTGCTGCTCCCTGCAGCTCTGCCCTGTCCCCCGTGCCAGCCCCGGGGCCGGTGGCCGCCCGGGGCCGACGCGGTGCCCGTGCCTCCGGCAGCACACGCACTACCCGCAGTTTGCCAGCCGCGAGTTCGCGGGCACCACGCGCCGGGGACCCTTCGGGGACGCGCTGGCCGAGTTCGATGGCTCGGTGGGACAGCTGCTGCAGGCGCTGCAGGACAACGGCCTGGAGAACTCCACGCTGGTGTTCGTCACCTCCGACAACGGGTGAGCGCTGGCACCGGGCACGGCCGGGCCCGTGGGTGGCCGTGTGTCTGTGTCCCTGTGGGTGGCCGTGTGTCCGTGTCCTTGTCCCCGTGGGTCCATGGGTGACAGCGTGTCCTTGTCCCTATGGGGCAGCAGTGACAGCGTGTCCTTGTCCCTATGGGCCCATGGGTGACAGTGTGTCCTTGTCCTTGTGTCCTTGTGCCCATGGGTGACAGCGTGTCCTTGTCGCTATGGGCCCATGGGTGACAGTGTGTCCTTGTCCCTGTGGGCCCGTGGGTGACAGTGTGTCCTTGTCCTTGTGTCCTTGTCCCCGTGAGTGACCGCGCGTCCGTGTCCTTGTCCCCGTGGGTCCATGGGTGACAGCGTGTCCTTGTCCCTATGGGGCAGCAGTGACAGCGTGTCCTTGTCCCCGTGGCCCGTGGGTGACCGCGTGTCCGTGTCCCTGTGGGGCCATGGGTGACTGCGTGTCCATGTCCGTGTCCCTGTCCCCGTGGGTGACTGCACGTCCGTGTCCATGTCCGTGGGTGACCGCGTGTCCGTGTCCGTGTCCGTGTCCATGGGTGACCACGTGTCCGTGTCCGTGTCCGTGTCCGTGTCCGTGTCCATGGCTGACTGTGTCCGTGTCCGTGTCCGTGTCCGTGTCCGTGTCCGTGGGTGACCGCTGTCCGTGTCCGTGTCCGTGGGTGACCACATGTCCGTGTCCGTGTCCGTGTTCGTGGGTGACCGCTGTCCGTGTCCGTGTCCATGTCCGTGTCTGTGTCCGTGGGTGACCACGTGTCTGTGTCTGTGTCCGTGTCTGTGTCCGTGGCTGACCGCTGTCCGTGTCCGTGTCCGTGGGTGACCACGTGTCCGTGTCTGTGTCCGTGTCCGTGGCTGACCGTGTCCGTGTCTGTGTCGTGTCCGTGTCTGTGTCGTGTCCGTGTCCGTGTCCGTGTCCGTGGCTGTCCGTGTCCGTGTCCATGTCCGTGTCGTGTCCGTGTCCGTGGCTGACCGTGTCCGTGTCCGTGTCCGTGGCTGACCGTGTCTGTGTCCGTGTCCGTGGCTGACCGCGTGTCCGTGTCTGTGTCCGTGTCCGTGGGTGACCGCTGTCTGTGTCCGTGTGCATGTCCGTGTCTGTGTCCGTGGGTGACCACGTGTCCGTGTCCGTGTCCGTGTCCGTGTCCGTGGGTGACCGCTGTCCGTGTCCGTGTCGTGTCCGTGTCCGTGGCTGACCGTGTCCGTGTCCGTGTCGTGTCCGTGTCTGTGTCGTGTCCGTGTCCGTGTCCGTGTCGTGTCTGTGTCCGTGGCTGACCGTGTCCGTGTCCGTGTCCGTGTTGTGTCCGTGTCCGTGGCTGACCGTGTCCGTGTCCGTGTCCGTGTCCGTGGCTGACCGTATCCGTGTCCGTGTCCGTGTCCGTGTCCGTGTCCGTGGCTGACCGTGTCCGTGTCCGTGTCCAGCCCCTCCACGCTGCGCGGGGCCCGCGGGGGCAGCGCCGGGCTCCTCCGCTGTGGCAAGGGCACCACCTACGAGGGCGGCATGCGGGTGCCCGCCCTGGCCTACTGGCCCGGCACGATCGCGCCAGGTGAGCCGGGCCGGGACAGAGCGGGACAGAGCGGGACAACATGGGGACAGACCGGGACAAACTGGGGACAAAATGGGGACAGACCTGGGACAGGCCGGGACAACATGGGGACAGACCTGGGACAGACCAGGACAACATGGGGACAGACCGGGAAAAAATGGGGACAGACCTGGGACAGGCTGGGACAGACCAGGACAAACCAGGGACAGACCTGGGACAGACCGGGACAACATGGGGACAGACCGGGAAAAAATGGGGACAGACCTGGGACAGGCTGGGACAGACCAGGACAAACCAGGGACAGACCTGGGACACACCGGGACCACATGGGGACAGGCCTGGGACAGGCCGGGACAAAATGGGGACAGACCGGGACAGACCAGGACAACATGGGGACAGACCGGGAAAAAATGGGGACAGACCTGGGACAGGCTGGGACAGACCGGGACAACATGGGGACAGACCTGGGACAGGCCGGGACAAAATGGGGACAGACCGGGACAGACCCGGGACAAACTGGGGACAGAGCGGGACAGAGCGGGACAACATGGGGACAGACCGGGACAGAACTGGGACAAAATGGGGACAGACCTGGACAGACCCAGGACAAACTGGGGACAGTCCTGGGACAGACCCGGGAAAAAATGGGGACAGACCGGGACAACATGGGGACAGGCCTGGGACAGGCCAGGACAAAATGGGGACAGACCTGGGACAGACCTGGGACAAACTGGGGACAGACCTGGGACAAAATGGGGACAGGCCTGGGACAGATCGGGACAACATGGGGACAGACCGGGACAGACCGGGACAAACCAGGGACAGACCTGGGACAGACCAGGACAAAATGGGGACAGACCTGGGACAGACCGGGACAAAATGGGGACAGACCGGGACAGACCCGGGACAAAATGGGGACAGAGCGGGACAGACCCGGGACAAACTGGGGACAGTCCTGGGACAGACCCGGGAAAAAATGGGGACAGACCAGGACAACATGGGGACAGGCCTGGGACAGGCCAGGACAAAATGGGGACAGACCTGGGACAAAATGGGGACAGACCTGGGACAGACCAGGAAAAAGTGGGGACAGACCTGGGACAAACGTGGGTCAAACCCAGGCCAGATCTGGGCCAAACCCAGGCCAAACCTGGAAAAAACCCAGGCCAAACCCAAAACAAACCCAGAACAAACCCAGGCCAAACCCAGAACAAACCCAGGCCAAGCCCAGAACAAACCCAGGCCAGACCCAGGCCAAACCCAGGCCAAACCCAAAACAAACCCAGGCCAAACCCAGAACAAACTCAGGCCAAACCTGGGACAAACCCAGGCCAAACCCAGGTCAAACCCAGGCCAAACCCAGGTCAAACCCAGAACAAATCCAGGCCAGATTTGGGCCAAACCCAGAACAAACCCACTCCAAACCCAGAACAAACCCAGGCCAGATTTGGGCCAAACCCAGAACAAACCCAGGCCACACCCCAGCCACACCCTGGCCAGACCCAGGCCAAACCCAGTCCAAACCCAGAACAAACCCAGAACAAACCCAGAACAAACCCAGAACAAACCCAGGCCAGATTTGGGCCAAACCCAGGCCAGACCCAGAACAAACCCAGAACAAACCCAGGCCAGACCTAGAAAAAACCCAGGCCAAACCCAGAAGAAACCCAGAACAAAACCCAGAACAAACCCAGAACAAACCCAGAACAAACCCAGGCCAAACCCAGGCCAGATTTGGGCCAAACCCAGGCCAGACCCAGAACAAACCCAGGCCAGCCCCAGTCCAGCCCCGAGCCGAGCCGAGCCGTGCCGAGCCGAGCCGTGCCGTTCTGGCAGGGGTGACCCACGAGCTGGCCAGCTCTCTGGACGTGCTGCCCACGCTGGCGGCGCTGGCGGGCGCCGCGCTGCCCGAGGCCGCCCTGGACGGCTTCGACCTGAGTGAGCTGCTGCTGCACCGCAGCCAGGTGAGAGCGGGGCATGGACAGGTGAGAGCGGGCGGGGCAGGACAGGTGAGAGAGGGCGGGGCAGGACAGGTGAGATGATGATGATTATGATGACGATGATGATGATGATGATGACGATGATGATGATGATGATGATGATGATGATGACGATGATGATGATGATGTTGATGATGATGTTGATGATGATGATGATGATGATGATGATGTTGATGATGTTGATGATGTTGATGATGATGATGTTGATGATTATGTTGATGATGATGACGATGATGATGATGATGTTGATGATGATGTTGATGATGATGATGATGTTGATGATGATGATGATGATGTTGATGATGTTGATGATGATGATGTTGATGATGTTGATGATGATGATGATGTTGATGTTGATGATGTTGATGATGATGATGTTGATGATGTTGATGATGATGATGATGTTGATGATGATGATGTTGATGATGATGATGTTGATGATGATGATGATGATGATGATACAAACCCAGATTTTTCATGCCAAAAAGCTGATAACTATTAGTTTATTTTAAATCAATGATAAATGATCATGGCTGCTGTGGCTAACGGGGCTACCAGAGCTCCCGGTTCTCCTGGAGCTCCCGGTTCTCCCGGTTCTCCCGGTTCTCCCTGTTCTCCCGTTTCTCCCGGTTCTCCCGTTTCTCCTGGTGCTCCCGGTTCTCCCGGTTCTCCCGTTTCTCCCGTTTCTCCCGTTTCTCCCGGTTCTCCCGTTTCTCCCATTTCTCCCAGTTCTCCCTGTTCTCCTGGTTCTCCCGGTGCTCCCCGTGCTCTCAGTTCCCCCGTTTCTCCCGTTTCTCCCGGTTTCCCCGTTTCTCCCGTTTCTCCCTGTTCTCCCGTTTCCCCCGGTTCCCCCGTTTCTGCCATTTCCCCCGTTTCCCCGTGTTCCCCCGTTTCTCCTGTTTCTCCCGTTTCTCCCGTTTCCCCCTGTTCTCCCATTTCCCCCATTTCCCCCGTTTCCCCCGTTTCTCCCGGTTCCCCCGTTTCCCCCTGTTCTCCCGTTTCTCCCATTTCCCCCATTTCTCCCGTTTCTCCCGTTTCTCATGTTTCTCCCGTTTCCCCCGTTTCCCCCGTTTCTCCCGTTTCTCCTGGTTCCCCCGTTTCTCCCATTTCCCCCGGTTCTCCCGTTTCTCCCTGTTCTCCCTGTTCTCCCTGTTCTCCCGTTTTTCCCGTTTCTCCCGTTTCTCCCGGTTCCCCCGTTTCCCCCGTTTCTCCCGGTTCCCCTGGTTCTCCCGCTTCTCCCGTTTCCCCCGTTTCCCCCATTTCTCCCGTTTCTCCCGTTTCTCCCATTTCTCCCGTTTCTCCCATTTCTCCCGTTTCCCCCGTTTCCCCCATTTCCCCCGTTTCTCCCAGTTCCCCCGGTTCCCCCGTTTCCCCCTGTTCCCCCGTTTCTCCTGTTTCTCCCGTTTCTCCCTGTTCTCCCGTTTCCCCCGGTTCCCCCGGTTCCCCCGGTTCCCCCGTTTCCCCGTGTTCCCCCGTTTCTCCTGTTTCTCCCGTTTCTCCCGTTTCCCCCTGTTCTCCCATTTCCCCCATTTCCCCCGGTTCTCCCGGTTCCCCCGGTTCCCC